CGGGCCCGAGGGGTGCTGAAAATAGGAAGGGTTTGGCTTTTACCTCACACATTCCCAGGACAATTAGGGACCGCTGGGAGCAGCGGGCGGACCGGCCGGTCGCCCCGCCCCTGGCCCCGCTCCGCGCCGGTTGGTCGCGCCCGAAGTCACTCCGCCGCCGCCGCCCGGGGAAGGTCGGGGCGGGCGGCGGGGCCCGCGGCGCCGGGCGGGGGGCGGGCGACTCGGCTCGGCGGCTCCGCTCCCCCCGGCCTTCCCCCGCCACTCCCGGAGCGGGGCGAAGGGGCGGCGCCGCGGGCGCCTCTGCTCCCCCTCCCGGCTGCAGCCTCCAGACTTTTGTTTCCTTATGGGACGCGGGAGCGATGCGCGGCTGCCTGCGCTCGCCGGGCCGCGCGGAGCCTCCGCGGGCGCGCGGCGGAGACGCCAAACCGAGGCGGGTTCCGCGGCGGCTCCGCGGCCGTGCGCTGCCGGGAGGAGCCGAGCCCGTCCCGCCACCGGAGGGCCCCGGGCCTCTGCCCGAGGCCGTGCGGCTCCGGGACCGAGCGCGGCGGTGCGCCCGGCGTGAGATGCGTAACGCGCCAAAGTTTGGCTCGCGGGTGTTACTGCCCGAGGAGGAACCTCTTACAAACAAACGTCACGGGCTGGGGAAAAAAAAAAAAAAAAAAAAAAAAAAGCACACTTGCAAAGAGGCCGCGTTCCGCGTCTCTCCGTCCCCCAGCGCCCCGGCCGCTCCCGCGCCGCCCTGCCCCGCTGCTTCTTCCGCGCCCCGAAGGAACGGGCCCGGGGGGCGCGGCGCCCGGCAGCTCCGTCCCGCACCGCCCCGTCCCGCACCGCGGGCGCTCCCCCTCCCACCCCTGTCGAATTATTTACTCCGCCGTGGAAACGACTCCTTTTCCCGTATTAATATTAACAAACTCTGTAAAAGCGGGAGGCTGAGCAGCCACAACTCATTTCAATTTCAAATGAGCCGGCAAACCTGGAGAGCGAGCGGGAGGAAAAGAGAGAGAGCGGCGATGATCCCATTCGTGGAAGCGGCTCGCTCGCGTTTCCTTCTCATTATTAAACGAAAGAGACCGCAAAACGTACACCTCGAAGGGGAAAAAAGCCCACCAGCCGCAAAAGCAAACAAACAAACCCAAACGAACGGACGAAGCCCCCCTGGTGCCGGCCAGTACTGCCTCGGCGCTGTGGAGCGGCCGTGGCCGCCGCTGCCCGTTTGCGTGTGGGGTGAGCCCCCTCCGCCCGCAGCGCTCGGAACGGCGGAGTTTGAGAAAAAGACAAACGAAGCCATCAGCGGGGCTGATGGTGAAGGATGAAGATAATAACCCTGCTATAGATGGTACCGCACGTGACATTATTTTTCGCTGAATATTTCAAGAGGTGTTTGGGCAGAGATGGATACGCCCGGCGCACGCTGCCCCCTCCTCACCCTCAGCCGGGGCACAACCCCGACCCGGCCGTCCACAGCCGCCCAGCACGGCGCACCGTCCGCACGCGAAACGTCCCTGCCGCTCTCCCTGCGCGGCCGTGGCCGCAGCCCGGGCCGTTCCCATCTCCTGCCACCTCCCGCGGGTCCCCATCGGCCGCTCTCCCCGAATTATTCCCCCTTACAATAGCATTACGCATTTGTCGATTAAACTTAAGACAAATTCCCCCAGTACCTTCGTTTCGTGGCAGGGAAAAGCCGGCCGGGCTGGTAATTATAAGGCAACTACAAGGAGAAAAACACAGGTTTAAAGAAAAAGAATAAGAAATTAACCCGGAGAAATAAAGTTTTGTAACTTTTTTTTTTTTTTTTTCGTTTCTCTGCTCCCTCGCTAATGCATAAAGCTGCACTTGGCATTTAACGTAGGGCCGCTCGATTATTTATTGTTTGTTTTCCTCTCCTTCACTGGGGGCCGGGAGGGGTGGGGAGAGGCGGGGGGCAGAGAGCAGTGCCGGGGCCGGTGCTTATTGTTGGTGATAGCGATACATCAATTACGTGTCATTGTCTCCCGTAGAAGTTGTGAGAGTTCACACGCGCAATGCCCGCTCCCTCTCGCAGCCCCGTGACAGTGACAGAGCTTTTCCCTCCCCGCCACACCTTGGGGATTTTTGTTTCTTTTTTATTCTTTTCTTTCTTTCTTTTCCTTTTTTTTTTTTTTTTTTTTTTTTTTTTTTTTACCTCGGATTATTCTCTTTAATGGAGGTGAGAGGTTTGCTAATGCGCTTCGATGCAAATCAGCCCGGCTGGAAGGCACCCGCGGAGGGGATCGATCTCCAGTTCATTGAGATGAGCACTGAAGGGAGATGGCAAACAGGGGATAATTTGCAGTTCATTCTGCCGAGAGACGCTTTCAATGAGATGCAACGCACCAGCCCGGCTTATTGTTATTAAGGTTTGCGCTCAGCCCCGACACTCTCCGCACTCAGGGGTTAAAAGCTCCGCAGTCCGCACCCAGCGGTGACACGCGGTTACCTCGAGCCGGGCGCAGTGTCACCGCTCTCCCTTTGCCGCTCACCTCCGCCCGCAGCCCGGGGCACACAGCAGCCCGGCCACGCTCCGTGCTGCGATACCTGCTCCTCCGCAGCACCACTTGTCCCTCTCTTCCCTTCTTTGCCTTTTTCTCCTCCTGTCCGTTCTTTCTGCTCTCTTTTTACACTAAAAGAAAAAAAGAAAAATACACTGTGTAAGAGCTTCAAATTTCGCTTCAGTTGACCCCTAAAGCAAGCCGCTTTTCAGTTACACCAAGTTACATCTATTTCAGCAGCGTGTGTAATTAGGGGCTCCCAGATGCTGCCCTCAACCGAGAACTCCGTGCTCAGACACACCGCGAAGTTTGAGGCCGTTCCGGTGCGCTGCCCGGGCAGCACTGCGGCACCGCGGCTCGGCGCTGCCCGGCGAGGGAACGGCAGCTCGGCCCCTGCCCACCTCTCACCTTGGTGTTATTGTTATTTGCTAATGATAACTCCTCGGGGAAAAAGAAATAGGGGGAGAGGGGGAGATCCAGCACTGAATCCTCCTCCATTATTAGCGACAACTCATAATTGATCATTGCTCACAAGCACGAGCTTTTAGCCGCATAATGGAATCGTAAGCGGTATGGGTTGAACTAAAGGGGGAAAAGGAAAGAAAAAGAAAAAAGGAAAAAAAAAAAAAAAGGAGTCAAAGAGCCTCCCCCTCTCTCTGCCCCAAATCTCACAGAATCGCAGCCATGGGGAACTCCCCCGCCCCCGAGATAAAAGCGGACGTGACTAAAGCCATAGGCGGCCAAGGTGGGATTGTTTAATTCTGTTTTCTCTTTGCACGTTTGCTGCCTTTGTCTGACCCGATGGCCAGCGCATTTTTACACCTCGCTGTCCCTTCCGAGTTTATTGATGAAGGTGCTTCTGAAATGATTATCGAGAGATTTACGGCCATCACTACCCACCTACGGGAAAAGTAGTAAAATCAATCCCTCAATCAATCGGAGCCCTCTGTGCATATCTTTTTAATCTGCTCTTTGAGCTGTTTTATTACAACAGAAGCATTAAATATGTTTGTTTCAAATTTAACACGAATGCCTCCGAAGGACTCCGTCAATTTAGGCATAAATCACGAGGCAAACGAGCTCGGTGGAAAGTCCTCATACTCGGGCAGGCTGCAAACCGAAGGCAATACCTGGATGGCCGCATTCCTCTGCCAGCAGCACCCCGCTCCGGCTGTAGGCGACTGCTGTGTTTGTCCAGCCCAGCCCGCGGGGCAGAGAAGACCTACAGAAAGATGAGTACAGCACGCTGCTAAAGACTTCCATGCCGTTTCACGTGGCTACACAGAGAACCTAGAGAGTGCTACTAATTAGAAATACTCTCGCATCCTGAAGCCTGTCATTTTTTTCTTTTTGATAGCAGAATGTCTTAGTCCCCATGTTAGGCTTGGTTTGTTACAACTATGTAGCATACACTTGAAAAAACTCCTTGGTTTCAATACTGTTATCGATCCCAAGGCGTCATGCTAACCTTTGTGTACCTTTTCTCCAACTAATGAAAAAATCAGTGAGGATTCCAGGTAGGCTGCTTTGGCCCGAAATTTTGCCTTTTGATTTGTTACATAGCAGCCATCAAAGGGCAGACAGAACAAGTCTATTAGTTCTATGAAGGATGAAAAATGAAGAATTTGATTTGGTCCCACAGAGGAACTCTTCTTCTTCAAGCCACATTCCTTTACATCCCAGTTTAATTTTTTTTTTTTTCTATCCCAGTGTGTCAGAGCCACATAAAAGCAGAATGTACCCTCCTGGAAAACCAGAAGTTTAGAAGTGAGGTGATGCGGATTTCTTCTGCCTCAGATAAAAATGTTTAAAAACCATTCTGGGCTGCAAAGATTTCTTCCAGAGGCACAATGTGGTGACTCTCAATGCAGAAACATTTCTGGGTAGAACAGTGGGGAACAAAAAGAAAGAAAGACACAGAAATATACCCATGTCAAAAGAAAAGTCATGACAAATTCATCTGATATCAGACGATGAGCTATCAGACTGGATTTCCTGCTAACATCTTGCTTTACAAAAAGTGCATTTATGCGGCAGGAAAACTTCACAGTCACTGTTGCTCTGCACCTGGGTAAATTCACTGCAGTCCGAGTGTGGAACTTCAAATCATCACAGCCATAATTTCTTCAGTCAGAGCACTATCTGAAACAGTATAGAGTAGGGAGTTGGTGGGAGCCAATTAAAAGCGAATGAATGAATAGGACCGAGGGAAGGATATTTAAGGAAAAAAGTCCCCTCTTCAAAAAAGTTCCCTCTGGATTTACTTACCTTTGAAACAAAAATCATG